TGATATGAAGTATCTGGTTCTCCGTAAATCCCCGAGCTCCGAGCCGGAGCAGAGATGTGTCAAATATTTAACAAATGAATGAGTTTTTAATCTGGGGCTCTGGGGAATGGAGCGTCATGATAAGGTTCCTTTTTTTTGTTTTCTCCTCATTTGCATAATTTCTCTGGAGTACATGTGCAGATTTCCTCGCCTTTGTTTGGGATCCCCACTGAGATCTGAAATGGCGGCACAGAATCATAGGAGGAACCTCTGAGATGTTACAGAAGCCTGAGAGCGGCAGTCGAGGCGAGCGCTGCCAGAGACACGGCGCCCATTGTGTCTCTGGCTGTTCATGCGTTCGCCTTTAATTGGGTTAATTGAAAACTTAAATGCTAGGTTTGTTTTTTCTCCCCCTCCCTCCTCCAGTGGAACTGTTGTTTTTCCTCTGATCCAATAACGCCGTGCACGGACACGCTGACAGTCAGCCAGCCGGGCGGGCGGGCGGTCCAACTTAAGCCATCGGGGTCTGCGTGCAGGATTACAAACGTGGACCTCCTCTAATCTAAGTAAGGATGCGGCGCACAGACCGGATCAGAGGGTCTACAGATGAACCTGAACCTGAAACTTCCAGATCCAGCTCCGGTCCTAATCCGTGTCACAGACGTGGTCAGAAGAACTTCTTCTTCTGTGGTTTTTATTTCACTCAGTCAGACGGTGAAAAAGCTGAAATCATGGACGTATTTCACAGAGCTCTCATGTCCCTGTTACCTGCTCTGTCACCAAACTCCGACTCTCCACAGAAGGCCAAAGTGGCGCTCTCTTCAGCTGAAGCCCCTCCCACTGGGCGTAATTGGTTACACAACCTGACACATCATAATTGAGCCATTTTCCACATTTCTTTACCGACGATCATCATTTTTATTCACGTTGTCATATTTCCAGTATTTATACTCAAAAACTACAAGACTGCACGCCGTCCCTGATCACGTGACGCTGAGTTCACGCGAGATCACGGTTACAGGAACTTCCCTGATCCCTGACGCTCATTTATCCGAGCGTTCGCAGGTTTGTCTGTCGGAGAACTGACAGAATCGATCTAAACCGGAGCGTCTCTAAAAACGGGTGTGAGGTCAAAGCGGCGAACTGGGAACAGCGGGAGCAGAACTTCTAAACACGAGCAGTTCGGTTCCACCAACATGATCCATGCTGAAGTCTTGGCACCAGAACCACCGTCAGGAAACAGTCGATGTTTGTGGAGCGGCTCCCATTTTTTTATTTCCTCAGAACAGAAATAGAGAAAATCTGGAGGAAGTGTTGAGACGTGTCAGAGTTAAAAACTGGAGAAATAACTCCTTCTGACAGACGGACTGAAGAACCGGAGCCAGCAGATCGGGATGATCCGCCCCTCTCTCCTGACTCTTACATGCCCCCTGTTTCCACAATGATCCTTGGCCCGTTTTTATCAACACCAACACCAGCAGCTTCACTCGCCGCGCAGACAACAATTCTATTTCAAACTCATGTCAAATGCCTCCAGTGGCTGTGAGGTTAAAGGAAGGAGAAAGACAGTGGGCGAGTGGGCGGCGGCGAGGCAGAGAGGCTAAGAGGGTGGCAGAGCCGCTGCCCACAGATACAGTCAACAAATTAAGTCAGACTTTATTTTGAAGGGCCGGCCGCCGCCGCCGCCGCACTGAGCATGAGCTGGCGTCTAGTCTCCGTGTCAGTTAGAGGACCTTTATGCGAGTACGCCGTCCATCTCACGCCTTAATGAGGCAATGGAAAAGCGAGCAGGGCAGCACACGGCGAGAAAAACAGCTCCGAGAAAATACCAACTTAATAAGGCAACACAAGCAAATGAATGATTTTTTGAATCATGTTTTAAACAAGTAGTCGTCCCCGAGCTCGCAGGGAGGAGCGGGGTGAGAGGGAGAATCTGCATATGGACGTGTGTGTGTGTGCGCGTGTGTGTGTGTGTGTGTGTGTGTGTAAACAAATTCTTCTATAAACCTGGCAGAGCGGAGGCTGCCACAGACATCAGCTCCACATTTGCATATTCATGGCTCAATTTGCACTTGGCTATGCAAATGTATGCAAACATCGTTTCTGAACATTTCAAAAATAGAAACCAGCATTCCAAACGACGGCGAGCCGCTTAATATGCAGCCGCACAAGAAAGAGGAAATTAGTGGGGAAAATGGAGGAGGAGGAGGAGGAGGAGGAGGAGGAGGAGGAGGAGCGGAGGGGGGAGGAGAGAGAGAGAGAGAGAGAGAGAGAGAGAGAGAAAGAGAGAGAGAGAAACCCGAGGTCTGGTTCTGTACAGAGGTGGAGAACGTTAGGATGGAGATGTTCAGAGATGTACGAGTCTCTCTGTGTGGTTCTGCCCCCCCCCCAATACTGTGTATACTCTATGGTGTATACTTGATGGTGTGTACTCTGTGTGTACTTTGTGTACTCTGTGTGTTTTTGAAGACACTGCCCTGATGCTGCTGCAGCTGATGTGTGTAAATGTGTATACTTCGTGTGTACTCTGTGGTGTATACTCTATGGTGTATACTCTGTGGTGTGTACTCTGTGGTGTATACTCTGTGTACTCTGTGTGTTATGAAGAAGACGACGCTGCCCTGCTGCTGCAGCTGATGTGTGTAAACGCGTGTGAAGACGTTCTCTTTGTTAGCTCGGTGTTCCCCTCAGGCTGGTTCTGTTCGGTAATTAGACTTGGATTTAAAACGGTGAAATGATTGTTTCCAGACTCCGACACGCAGACTAGAGTGAGTACATTTAAATACAAAGAGCATAATTTGATTCACATGACTCTGTGTGAACTGAACGCTGAATATTTCACTTTTTTTCTTCTTCTTCTTCTAGATTTCTGGTCTTGGCAGCAGAGCGGACTGAACCCTGCGAACACCAGAACCACCGGCGGGTCTGCAGCCGGGCTCTGCTGCACAGAGAGGAAAGTTTCTCGACACTCCGGATGAATGGAAGGGGAAGAGTTCAGCAAAATCTACTTTTGCTTAAATCCTATTCATCTGCTGGGCACAAGGCCGGGTAAGCTGCTCCCCTGGCACCGGGTCTGTCTGAGGGGCCGTGTGGGGCCTCCGGAGCTTTATCTCTCCTCCCTGTGCTCCTCGGGATAAACGGCTCCACATGGAGCCCTAATCCCCCTCTTCACCCGCTCCGTTTTCCCTTCCTCCCCTCACATCCCTGCTTCCTTTTTTAGGCCTCCTTTCTTCTCTCCTTCTTCCCTCTCTCCTTCTCTCCTTTCTCTCCCCAGTGTGAGTCGACTCCTCCTCTCACAGGAGGACTTGTTAAACCCCGTCCTCAGCCTCGGCCCGCTCTGCTGTTGTGCAGAACGTGTTAATTTTATGACACTGACGGCGGCAGTAAAAGCAAAGCCGCGGCTAATTATCCGGCGGTGTGAGGTGAGTGGCAAAGAGTGGGCACGCCAACGCTCGAGGTGCCTTAATCATTGTTTACGAGAGCGCTCAGCGGGGTTTTTGGCCGGCGCTCGCTTCTCTCCACCTTCCTCTGCGGTCCTGAACCTGCAGTTTGTCGGGACGGACGCAGCGGCGAGCGGCGAGCTCCTGGAAACAAAAGCGATTTATGTGGAAAAAAAGATCTTTGATTGATTTCCACTGACCTACAGGGGGCGCTCTCTTGTCCTGTTATGAGGAGGTTTATTTAAAGAGCGTCTCTTAATGGCGCTGCTCCTCATAAGTGGCTACAAGCCTCATTTGGCTTTGTTGGGCTGCTACAATGAGGGAGCGGCGGCGGCGGCGGCGGTGGGGGGGGGAGTAAGTGCATTACCATTTATGGAGGGAGAGGAGCTGCAGAGAGCGGCTGCTGCCTCTTTAAGATGGGTTTAAGTGATCAAAATTTCATGCTAGGCTGCGATCGGCGGTGTAACGTTGCTCTTTAAGAGAGCGGCCTAATGACTGCCATGTGTGGACGGCGGCGGGTTTTGGAGGGGATTTTGTGGAGGCAGGGGCTGGGGGCCTGAGACCGGGCCCAGACTGTGAGGTAGACTGGTGAGGTCTGGGGGCTGGGGAGCTCGGAAAGCCGAGCGGCGAGGAGAGAGAGCGAGGAGTCTCACGGAGGGGCTCAGAAAAGGCCGTCCATGTGAGATTACGACACGGCTCAGAAATGTGCTGCTCGGGAAAGTTTGTGTATTTTGGGAAGTGCTCCAAATTTTCCACAGACAGCTTTTTATTTTTTGGGTTATCTCACTCTCCCCCGCCTCTCGCTCTCCTCCTAGTTTGGACTAATTGCGTGGCGTAGCGCCCGCTGAGTCAATATGAGAAAGTCTGCTCCCTTTCCTCCCCTCCCTCTCTCGCCCCTCTCTCCAAACATTCACTGATAGTGTGTATTTTTGAATGCGAAGGATAACATGTCTGTATATTTTTCCAGCGCGCCGGTTCAGGGTTCTTTTGTAGGTTTAATTTAAAAAGGATGAAACTTTGTGGCGCAGAGAACCAGTGTTTCCAGTCTGCGGCTGACAGGGAAACCGAGCGGCGGCGGCGGCGAGATCCCCTCTTCAGGACTCGCTCTGCTGGTGTCTCTCCAGAAAATCAACAGCAGACGTGAAGATGTTTGATTAAACCAGAGGAAGGTTCACCCGATAATATCAGAGAGACTCGAGTATTTATTTATGAGACACACACACACACACACACACACACACACACACACACACACTGGACCCGGAGGATTTACAAACTATGAACCAATTAACAGGAACTGTTTTAAAAATCACATTTAAAATATATTTTTATCTCGTGCTGTCGGACAAGAGCTGAACTAATAAAAACTAACCGAGGAGGAGGAGAGAGGAGGAGGAAGAGAAGGAGGAGGAGGAGGAGAGAGGAGGAGGAGAGAGGAGGAGAGAGGAGGAGGAGAGAGGAGGAGGAGGAGGAAAAGGAGGAGAAAGAGGAGGGAAAGATACCTGCAATTGACGGATAAAAATAAAGACATTGATATGAAACATTTTATAACTGAAGGATCCGTGAAGAAACTCTGATATCAATTAAATTCAGATTTTTATTCTCTTAAAAATATAAATATTGATAAAGGAAAACAGAAAAACAAATGAATTTAAAATAAAAAACATTATTGTTTTAAAGTTCTGAGGCTGAAACTGAAGAAGAAACTGAAAAAAATAAAAACACTGAAAAAAAATCGAAAAAAGAAAAAAATGAATTAAAGAAACTGAAGAAACTATAAAAACAAAAAAAAGTTAAAATGAAAAAAATGAAGAAACTGAAAAAACTAAAAAAATATAATTAAAAAAATAAATAAAAAATGAAAGAAACTAAAAAAATGAAAAAAGTTTACAAAAGAAAAAACTGAAAAATGAACCCACACACACAGACACACACAGACACACACAGACACACACAGACACACATAGATACACACGTGTCGACTCCTGTGATGAGGACAGAGTCAGAGTCTGATCAATATCCACAAACAAACAAACAAAAAAACAAACAGACAAACAAACAAACAAACAAACAAACAAACAAACAAAGGTGTCCAATACGAGGAAACTGATTCTGGTCGGATCGGCACAAATGTAACGAACGGACCCTGAGTTCTTTTCCAACGGTCCCCGTCTGAAGACCTGAAACTAGCTCAGAGACCCTGGTCCTGAATCCTGAATCCTGATTGGTCGGATTAATCTGCAAAAACAACATCAGCTGTTGGGATCAGAGCCGAGTCCGTCAGGAAGAGTTCCTGATAAAAACCACAGGAACTGTTGAGCAGAACCGATCGATTAAAGGGATAGTTCACCTCAAAAAGAGGAAGTGTTCGGCGCCGCCGTCTGAGCACGCTTTAAGAGTTTGAGATGAAATGACTGATGGGAAAAAATCCGCAAACATGAGGAACATGGACACACACGGCGTTAACCGGAAACAACATTTATCTCTGTTTCCTCTCTCCCTCAGATACTTATCAGCCTTAAAGGCGCTGATTCACCCCTATCACCCATCAACAGCACCTCGCCACATTCACCGCCGCCGCCTCACCACTACAAATCCCATTACTTTATCCTTAGCTAATACCAGGCCGCCACCGCCGCCGCCACCTCCTGTCAGGGCCCACGGCACAAACAATTTACTTTCTTCCTTCCTCCATTTCGCAGAGAGAGGAGCTCGTGGTCAGAGCGGGGGGTATGGCGAGCTGTTGGCCTCGCCGTGACTGTCTCACAAACAGCTGAAGAGGAGTTTGAGTCGCCGTGAGGACGAAGAGTCTGAGGACAGAGGAGGACGGTCTGAGGGCGGCCCGGTTATTGTGGACCCGGTTCTGTTTGAAGATGGAGAACACACACACACACACACACACACACACACACACACACACACACACACACACACACACACTTGTTATGCCCTCCCCCCTCTCCCCCTCTCCCCCTCCCTCCCCCCTCATGACCCCGCTGACCTCTGTGCATTCCTCTCTGAGGTGATTGGCAGCTCATGCAAATACAACACAACCATGACTGGCAGTGAGAGCCACGCCGTGCCCTTCCCACAATGCCCCTGGCCCCTCCCCGTCAATAGACGCTGAGCTGGCGTCATTGTCCGAGATACAGCGACCTTTTACCTCCCTGAAGTCGGCGCTTCCTGGGAACCTCCCAGAACTTCGCTGCTCTGCGTGTCGTCCTGATCTCTGTTTACCTCTGTGTGTGTGTGTGTGTGTGTGTGTGCGTGTGTGTGTGTGTGTGCGTGCGTGTGTGTGTGTGTGTGTGTGTTCATTAGCATAAACATGGCGGTGTGTGTGTGTGTGTGTGTGTGTGTGAGTGTGTGTGTGTGTGTGTGTGTGAGTGTGTGTGTGTGTGTGTGTGTGTGTGTCTCTTTTCGCAGCGTCACTCTCAGATCTCAGCGGTAAAAACGGCTCCAGGTCTCGTTGTGGGTCGGTTTTCCTTCTTGGCGCCTCAGGGAACCGTCAGCATTAGATCTGGAACCGTGTCAGACCTGGGGGGGCCGGGGGACCTGGACCCCACCCTGTCTTCTCTAATGTCAGACACCAGCGGTGAGCCCGGTCCATAAAACCAACGCTCCCTGATCAGAGAGGGGACAGGGACGATCCCGGCAGAGGAACTGCAGAGCTGTGGTTCTGTGGTCCTGTAGTCCTGCAGGGCTGTAGATCTGTGGTCCTGTAGTCCTGTAGTCCTGCAGGGCTGTAGTCCTGCGGTCCTGTAGTCCTGCAGAGCTGTAGATCTGTGGTCCTGTAGTCCTGCAGGGCTGTAGTTCTGTGGTCCTGTAGTCCTGCAGGGCTGTAGATCTGTGGTCCTGTAGTCCTGCAGAGCTGTAGTTCTGTGGTCCTGTAGTTCTGTGGTCCTGTAGTCCTGCAGGGCTGTAGTCCTGTAGTCCTTCAGAGCTGTAGATCTGTGGTCCTGTAGTCCTGCAGGGCTGTAGTTCTGTGGTCCTGTAGATCTGTGGTCCTGTAGTCCTGCAGAGCTGTAGTTCTGTAGTCCTGCAGAGCTGTAGATCTGTGGTCCTGTAGTCCTGCAGAGCTGTA